TTGAAGGAGAAGAAACCACACTCTCCATAATCACCTGGTCTTCAATATGTATCCATTGTATTCCTTAAAAAACCACTTCCTTGTCCTGGGTTTTAGCGCTGCCAGGAAGCGCCCTTAGACAGACGCATTAGGCAGTGAATAGTGGTTGGAAATGGTGGCAAGACCTCAAAACCCAGAACTAGGTGGCTTACCCAGTGCTGCCTCTGAGCTAGCCTGCTGCCTTCAGGTGCATTGGAAAACAGTGTCTTTTCGTCAGTGTGGAAGTAAGACTTAGCTGCAATGGATTTCATTTATGCTTTACCTCAGACATCAAAATGTTGGTCTCTTCTTCAAATATGGACAAAGAAGCTTCTTTTGCAGTAGCTGCCAATATTGCTTTGCTTCTCAGTTCATTGTGGGAAGACTATGCACCTGGACAATAACCCAGGAACTGCACAATGTGCAAGATTCTATAATATTAGCATTACCTCTGTGTCCGACCAATTGTGACTATGTTCTTGCCTTTTTTGTTGCTTAATAACAACCCCCAGAGTTTCTTTACTTAGTCTGTTCTCAGTCCAAATCAGTTCTGACCTCAACCTGGAATATTCCCTATGAACAGTGATTTTTCTCAGCTGATAGTTTGCTTGCCTTGCCCCTTGTGTCACACCAGACTTAGGCCGGCCCTTTCTCAGTGGTGTAGTCTTCTGCTACACTATATGAAAGAGGTTGGGGATTGGAGTATTTGAAGAAGAGGCTATTAGTACCTCAGATTATTGAACTGGATGGAACTCAAGAAATCAGTCATAACTAACAACATCTTTGCCAGCATGTCAGCATCACTTGCTGGATTTTTTTAAAACATGAAACATGAAAATATTAACCTATGAAAAAAGAAAATCAAGCCAATTCTCCCCTTTTACTAATAGGGTGTTTGGGCTGTAAACACTATGTAATGAGCTGAAACTCAGCATGTTCACTTCTCCTTGTCATGCAGATACAAAGAGGGGATGGACTGTCATGAGAAATTTATCAGTGAACCCCTGCCACAGAGCAAAAGGCAGCAACCTTAACCAACATTTGTCCCTCAGGGAAAAAAAAAGATAAAGGAAGGGGAATTGCTTTCAGTAAATTATGTTCTCATTCCAATGCAAAATGAAAATTGAGTTTTCATTGATTTTTTGAATAGCACAACACTGAATTGCATGATCTCTGTGTATTTGTCTTGCTATATGCTTAGTGGAAAGCTATACTTTTGTTGTGCTGTTTCCTTTCCCTCCTTCTTCAGTTGAGAAAGTAGTATCCCAAGTTGTAGGTGCTTTATTACAATTGTTAACAAGTAAAATAAGAATGCTATGGAATCTGAAGCAATAGATCATTAGTCAAATATCTTAAGACTATAAATTCCATCATCCCCATCCAATAAAACTATTGACCATGTTAGGCGAAAATGATGTGTGAGGTAGTAAATTACTTCTGGAAGGTGCCAGGTTGGGAAGCTCAAATAGGTCACACTTCTAACACACATGCAAATGCATACAGACACACATTATTACATTACAATATTACATTATAATTTCTCAAAGCCTGCTTTAAAATGTTTACAAAGTAGCCATGAAAGATGTTTTCCAGTGTTCCTCCAAGTGCATCAAAAAGACTCAGGTGGGCCTTTTTTTCTGTTGAAATTGCTTTATTTCTGAATCCATAAATATTTGTTACTGACAAAAGTGGAAAAAATCCTTAAGACTCTATTTTTGTTTGTTTGTACTAAACTGGTAATAGTTTTGTTTACAGTACCTACAGAATGTGCTTTTACAGGTAAGTTATAACAACAAGGATAATACAGAGAAAAACAGTCAAATACTGCTGCCTTGAAGCTTAATGCGCAACCAAGAGTCAGTGCAAAGATACAGATACGAATGTACTTCCTCATCAGAACTACTGGAGAATAAACATGAATTCCATAAACTGGGCTAAAGCACAACGGGGGTTGGACTTTCAGCCTCCCCCTCAGGAAACAGTATCCCCCGATGAAGCGGATTACGATACAACTTGGCTTCCTCAGAGGAGAGCGACTCTTGTGAGAGAGCCCCTCTCTCAGCCGCTGGGATGGAGGCTCGGAGAAGCAGCCGCAAAGCATGTGGTCAGAGCAACAATAAGGCGCAGCTCTGCACCGAAGGGTGAGAACTTCCACAAATCATGAAAGGTCACAAAAGAGACACCAAATGCCATTTTTTTTGTTTGCTAACTAATGAGATAATGGATCGCTGATCCCTCCCCACCCCTAGATTTACATAAATATTATAAGAACAGAATATATCTGTCCTCCTCATTCTCACAGGTATTCAGCAGATAAAATACAACAAATACAATTTCCTTCTTTAAATTCAGAAATAAACCAAATCATCTTGTTTATTAGAAGCCAATATGCCATATGCACGTCATCATGTTTCCCCTCTGAGACCAGCCCAATTCAAAATTATTGCTACAACTTTGCTGGAAAGTATTCAATACAAAGTTTTGTTCCAAACTCCTATGAAATTCCCCCCTCCCTTCTTATATTTGTCAATATTCTTCAGATGATGTCATTCATAAGCATTCAAGAGTGTTCCTTATGAGAAAAAGACCTTTCATATAGTCACAGGGTGAGAGGATTGGGTGGTGCACCAAGCAGGATGGTACTGAATCAAACTCTTTAGCTCTTTACTTCAGGGCTGCTCTCATGCCATTGGGTGGCTAGTGTGAATTTCATCCTTCACCCGTCTTAGAAAGGCAAAGTTGAGAACTTTTGCCTATCAGAAATGGGACCAATATCAGAAAGTTTACCATTCAAAAGCTGTTGTTCTTTGCTTTCAGCTTACTTTGGCCTCTGATTAACATTTGGTCATGGAAAAGCAGACATGAAGGAAGCCCCCAATATCTCTACCCAAACAATGCTGCAAAGAGGTCCAAGACCTTATTTCTCCACTCTGATCTCCTGGGGTAAATTCCTATTGCATACTTTACACCAAATCCACCCAAGAGGATTTGGTTTTTCTACCCAGTAGCTGTATCTTTGCAGAAGTTGAACACTCTGCAGTGACAATTAGATATGGAGGGGTTCATGAACCTTTCTTTGGGTTACCTGGAATCATTGATAAACAGGAGGAGGCACAGAAAGAAAATAACTTTGACACTATCTTGCCTCTCCCTTTCTTAGGGAATCTATGCAATTGCGTCTGTCTGTGTTGGTGAGGCCCTGTTCCGTGTAACACAGAAAGCTACTGCTTTGAGGAACTCACATTTCCTATAGATGGGGATGATATGCAAAGGTCATTCAAATAGTTCTTTGCTCCTAAATCTGCTTTATGCTCATTTATTCTGAGGGACTAAAAACTGTTTGAGATTCAAGTTTGAACTTTTTTCTCCTTCCTTTCAGTTTTCAGTCTGAGATTTTTTTAAAAATCCCAGCAGAAATGGATGGCTGGATTGGGTCACACTGCCTTGAACCTGGCAGGACAGGGAGATGGTGGCTCCCCGACTGTTATTGGACTAGGGTTGAAAATCATTCCTGGTGACTGGCAGGGTGGGTGAGATAATGCAAACTGGAGCTCAACATCTTCCAGACCACAGATTCCCATTTCCATTGAAAGATATGCTATAAACTTACAAACTGCAGCTACATTTTCAAGGTTTGTCAACATGCTGTCTTCCTGTTGGATAGTCCCAGTTAGAGTGGATCCATTTGATCAACTGTTGAAAGGCAAGTCATCATGTTGCTAAATCCCACTGAATACACAGTTCTACTCTGGTTAAGATTGATAACAGGATTTAGGCCATTGTGTATTTTATGCACACCTGCAATATTTAATACACTATAAACAACCCTCATAAATTCTGCTTGAATGGCATTCTTTAAAAAAAGAGCCAGCCCAGTGTAGTAGTTTAAGTGTTGGATTAGGGCTCTGGTCAGCCATGGAAACCCACTGGGTGGCCTCTAGCAAGTCACGTTCTCTCAGCCCCAGAGGAAGGCATAGGCGGATCTGCCTTTGAACAAATCTTGAAAAGAAAACCCCATGATGGAGTTACCATAAGTCAGAAATTACTTGAAGGCATGCAAAATCAACTTACAAGAAAAGTGGCTGGGTGATTATCCCCCTTCCAAATCCCTTCAAATGTAAAATATGAGTGCAGCAAGTACGTATTTCATACAGAGACACTTCTCCTCAGCCTGGCAGCTGGAATTGGCTATAGTTCCCTGTCAAATGCACATTTCTCATCAAACTTGGAAAAAGCAACTCAAAAAGACTGAGTAATCACTCTGTAGAAGAGCTGTGCATGCAGCCAGAGATGGCTTTGAAGTTTTCACCACAGCCACTTATGAGCAATCTCATTTTTCATTAAAAATTGTTTTGCCTGTTCAGCCAGAAAGGTAACTATAATCATAGGGGAAGGGGAATTGTGACTCTTCATATGTTGATGGACTCTGATTCCTATTAACCACGAACACATGGATATGGAGAGCTGCCATCTCATAGCATCAGAAGAAGGGTCAGAGCTTCCCACTCCTTTCCTTTCTTAGACCTGAATAATCCCACTCGCCTCAGATGCTTGTTCCTTCTCGCCACTGAAACCATGTACTGTTGAAGCATCCCACCTACTTGAATGTTGGCAACCTCCTGATTAAAAATGAAATCTGCCCATCTAATAAGTCACTGAGACATCCTGGTTCCCCTGATCAGAAAGTGGGCACACATTTCTGCTGATCTCGTCAATGAAAGTTGAAGAAATGGCTCTGTGCTCAGCAGCTGACTGTCAGAACAATATTTTTGAAAACCTGTTGGCTGACAGGTCTGTGTTTGGTGCAGTCCAATATGAAGATAAGTACGTGGAGTGTCTCATCTGGACATCTCTCATTAAGCTAAATGCTTTGTGATCCCAACTCTTAGGCCAGAGTCCAGTTGCCCTGCAACTGCATCAGATGAGAGCTTGAGAATCACCAGATATGAAAAGATGACATCAGCCCCGAGATCTGAGGACTCTCAGTACTGCTATAATTGTCTGACTATGAGGACGTAGCCAAATGGTTTTCTGATCCTGGCTGCTTTCTGTGAGGCATGGAACAGCAATTCAAAGGGACTTCAGGGGCTTTACAGTAAGTTGAGAGAAGGTATATGGCTTAACGTAGTACAGGTCCACACGTGGATATTTATACTAAGTAAGGGGATATTGGATTGAGGCCACCATCTATTGCAAACTTCCCCCTCCACCTTTGACACACATATAGCATAGTCATTCTCTGCAAAACTTCCTGGCTGGAGAAGTTAATTTGGCCTTCAAATTCCTGCCTTTTGCAACATCTTTTTAACTACTTTTCTGTTTAGCAAGTCATTAAATTTGGCTAGTTGATTATTCTGCTCACCTTTGTCTATTCTTGACTGCATTATTTTTTGATAATATGGTATTGCTTAAATTATTTTGGACCATTTAGTTTGTGTGTGCATGTGTACATGCATACATGTATAAGTAATCAGAGCTGCCTTGGTGATTGTATAGCTGGAATCTTCTTATAAATAAACAAGAGCAGGAAATCACCCACTCTTATTTAGCTATCTGTCAATTATTTGGTGTGATTAGCAGTTGAAGAACATTTTGTATATCTACACTGCTCATTAAGAGTGGAACATGTATGGGAAGATCATTAGTTCCAACAGGCAGATGGATCTGAATGATATGAGGAGACTATCCATCCAGATGGAACTGATTTTCAGCTTTGGACTCCAGCTGAGGCACCCAGCTTTAGAGCACAGTCTAGAGAAAAGTCAACACTAATGAGACACTTCGGCTCCCTTCAGCTGCTCACTTGCAGTAACTATCTAAATTCTGACCATTGCACCAAATCCCAGGTAAATGTGACATTATCACATTTAGAATAACACAGGAGCTCTAGCACATTATCATTCATCTTCAGGGGGTTTGTACAGAAGGCTGTGCTGGTGATCCATGTGGGATGTTTTATCTGGTGAGGGACTAAGGCCTACTTTGTATGTCATGCAAACAGCATGGCTGCCATCAAATGCTACCTCTACAGGGGTAGAGGACATGCATTTCCCATAACATGACTGCCACTGAGTGGCTCCTCAGCCCCACAGAGCAGCCATTTCAGGCAGCAGCCACAGTGTTTATGTCATCTAAAAAGAAGGCCCAACTGACAGGAAGGAAGAGAAAAAACCAACTGCTTTGCTGATGACTGTGTTGATACAGAAAAGCAGGAGATGTTCAGGAAACGGTCCATAAAGAATGGGTGGGCATTTGCACATTTCTTTCTGGAATGAAGAAGCTCAGCTAATTTTATTGTGTAACCTCAGAAGTAAACACCATATCTTCTCACAGCACTTCCTTATGTGCCCCTCTGCTGCCACAAGTCCTATTTTGTCCACATGTAATGGTCCCCATTATAGATAGCTTCAGTGGGTCAAGGGCCTGGCACCCTTGCCTCTGGCATCTCAGTTGCCAACACTTTCTCAGTTTATATAATGGAAAGTCAAAGATGTAAAAGTGAGATTTCGTATTCCAAGACTCTTATGGTTTGAATAGGTACCAGGACTATACCACTCTTGTAGGCTATCAACCCTTTCTATGGTCCATATTGTGGGGACCAAGATAGCAACACTGAAGACTGGAAATGGGACAAGTTACAGTGTGCTCAGAGAAAATGCTTCTTCTGCAGCCTGCTGTGGCCTTGCTTTCTTAAGCGTGTTACAGTTAGCAAGAACATCAACTACTTGAAGCTCTCGTCTGTTGCTTGAGAACAGGAGGTGAGCAACAGCAGGGTATTACATGGCCACTGCTGTCCTTTCCTTCCTGGCCCAGTTTCTGTTAAACAAAGTACAGTTTTGTTATGGCTCCAACCTGTAGTCTACAAACGGAAGAACCTGGGGAAAACAACCCAAAATAACCCCATGGCTACTTTTTCCTGGTGCTATAAACAAAATCATTTTTAAAAAGGGACATGAAATAGCTTTTTATACAAGTTTAACTCTGAAAAATGTAATGAAAAAATAAGTTCCAAGTTCAAAGCCACTGTTTGATGAAATGGGATTTCATGTATTGCCCGGGAAAGGCCTTGAATGTCAGGAATGTTCGATCAATTTCTAGGTTTAGACTGTTACACTCAGTGGGATCCTGCTCAATGCAAGCATGCCAGAAGAGCCACATGCACTTGCAACATGGAAATGCAAGTACTTATTAAAGTGAGCCAACTTTTCACAGAATCATACAGCCTTAGCCATCTAATTCATTTAGCTTTTGGACCATAGGCCCAGGCCACGCAAGAAAATAAGGTGTTTCAATCTATGATAATTACAATTTGCATCTGTTCCACCTATACAAAATCCAACAAATATTGGACCTACAAACATTTTCTCTTAAAGACATTACAGACACTTAGTGTCTAATTATTACTGTACAGTGGCTGTACAATGTGCCCAATTAGTATGTGAACTTCTGCACAAGCATTTCATTTCCTGGAGGGGATTAGCAGGCAGACTGGCAGTCACAGATATTCTCGGTCTGGATAGATGAGGGAAGGCAAAGCTTTCAGAAGCCTCTCATTCTGGGAGTCTCTTGTGATTAGTTGGAGAGGAGCTGTAGGTTTACAGGAAACCAAGGTTAGACTAAGCCAGGAACTACTGCCTGGGATGGCAACTGGACTACTGCTGACTCATACCTCTTGTGGTGGATTATTGTGTCTATTTCAGGTGCGACAACATCCCAGATGGTCAAACGGTATATGCTGCTATCTTGTATAGAAATGAGTGAAAAACTGGAGAGGAATTATTTTGCCCTGTTTCCTTTTTAAAAATCTATTTACATATTGGGAAATTTATATATATGAGGATACATGGAAAAAAGAGGTGTGGACTGGCAAATACTAATAAGCAAAATTGTGCTTATAAACAAATCCATCTCCTTCCACCACCCAGATAGCTGGCTAGTTATAGGCACTGGATTAATTTTGTTTTATAGTTTCATATAAAACAAGGTGGTTTCCCAGCTGTTGCAATCATTGCCCCTCAGTCTGTTAGTTCCTTCATCATATTTATCATTGGCATTTCTCCAAGGGCCAGGCAGATCCATGCTGAGGTGGAAATAGGTTGCCACCTTCTAACCTACAGGTGGGACTGTAGTTGGCCCACAACATGCCTACCAACCTTGCCATGTAATGCTAATGTGGTATTAGACCCCTTTTCTTGGTTTATTATGATGGGCATTAAAGTGCTAGCTTGGCAAACTAGCTAGAATATAGGTGCAGACAAGCCCTTGAAATGAGCCATAATCCAGTATGGCTTTCTTTGACAGAAACTGAGCAGGATAGGAAATCTTACCTGTACCACTTATCCCTATTCTGTTTTTCCTCCCTATGTCAATAACAAGTAGATGAATTTTCAAAACGACACAGACAGGACTGTCGGAAGAGTCTTGTCTTTTCAGACATGGGATTAGAGGTTATCTTGGCCATAAGGCCACTGCAGTGTAGGGCACTGAAGCCACCCCAGTCCAGAGATATATGGAATATTATCTACAATGCACAGTGTCTCTGATCAAACAGTCACCTCTGTCTTGCTGGCTGTGCGGTAATGGGAATGGTGTCCTGGGATATAGTGTAGCTGCTCCACTGTGTTGTGCCGCCTGGAGGCAAATGCCTGGCGCTTGGCGGATGTTTGGTTCATACTCAAGGTGTTGTATATGTTATTTGAGGCACTGGGATGGGAGTGCATCTTAGTCATCCGGTAGCGATCCAAGACAGGTGTTGAAACAAAGACATCCGAGTGAGACAAAGCCCGTGACATGGACTGTTCCCCAAAGCCAGAGTGTTCCGGAGAGAGGAGAGGGTCTTGGGAGTGCAGGCGTTCAGTGGACAACAGCTGCTCATCTGATAGGATCCGCTCATAAGACATGCTGAACTCCTCTGGCATGATCCTCTCCGGGGACAGAACTCGGTCCTGGGACATGGCCCGCATCACCCGGCGTGGCCGCTCCCTTTGGAAGGTCTGTTTCTGGGATAGTTGGATGACATTGAGAGGGAGGGTTCCTCTTGCTGCTAAGTCAGGGAGATGCCTCTTTCTTGAGTAATATTCCTCAGCTTCTTTGTCAGCTACAAGGGGGCAAGGGAAGAGAGAAGACAATCATGAAGGATGTGAAGAACAGTGGACAAGGGTGACAAGCAGAACTCAAGAACAGTCTGCTGCAATGTGCAAGTTTCTGGCTGAGGCATTAAGTGACAGGTTTGCTATCAATGGCAACATCTAAGACTTTTTCGCCTTGTGGAAAATTGGTATGTTATGAACATGGAAACTGTACCTGGGATATATAAGTGGCATAACCTGTGTTGCTTCTTGATTACTTATGTTGCTGTCCTTTCTCAAACATTGCACAAGAAGGCATGTAGTTTCTCCTTGAGCAATGCTTTTCTCTGACTTTTTGGCTGCAGGGGTACATCTCTGTGCTATTTGGGTGCTGTCATATGGCTAGAGGAAAAGGAGTCACCTTTGCACTCCTGGGCCTTCAAAGTGAAACAGGATTACAAGTTGTCCAGCCATTCAACATACAGTGGGGACAGGCATCTTCTAGGGAGCTGTTTTATGTTCATACTTGATTAAAGAGCTGCAATACATGATCATCCTTTGAATGGGTCATATTTTTACCTCTACTTCAGTTAAATTAGCACTTGGTGACTGAGGCCTCCTGAGATTGTCATGTTGAGGTTACATGGCACTAATGGAATGGAAATAGCACCATCCTACTGTTGATTTTAGAAAATAACTTCCTAATCAGGGAAATTTTGTTAGTCTCTACCTTCCCCTGTAGTACTTCTTTCCTTACTATTTTGATGGAGAAAAAAATACATTTCCTGGATTGAAATTCCAAAAGTATTGAGATTGATACAGAAGTGCAGAGTTTAATTTTTCTTGTCTCAGCTCTAATTCATAATACTCTCCTTTATGCCATGATTGGATGAGGAGTGGTTCTCCAGATATTTCTGGGATGTAAAATTCTTATAAACCTCACCCAGCACATCCAATGGCAAGGGATGGTTGGAGCTGCAGTCCAGCAACATTTGAAAGTCCCTTAGCTCCACATTACCAAGGTTGTAATTGCAGGGAAGCAACCTAGCAAACACAGAAACTATGGAAAGTGGTGCAGTTCCTCTTTTGGAGGTGGTGGGCAATGTAGAAGTAGACATAGTAATTTTCTAAGGGTCCAGGTGGCTAAGAAAACCCTATGTAATATGTGAAGAATGGGATGGGCATGGGGGAAAACGTGCAATAATTGATAAAAAATGAAGCCTTAGTACTAAGCAAACTAACAAATACCTGATGGCACACAGACAGCGTTATATCTTGTGAGGAAATCAAAGTAGCAATCAATAACAGACTGAGTTTCCGGTACTCTGTGAAGTATATTGGATTTAATCAGTTACACCTGTGATAAGAAGAACCCTTGAAAAAGGTGCCTCCTTGTGTTGCCTGGACATCAGTTGTCTCCTTACCTTCTCTTTCGCCCACTCCTCCCTGAAGTTGCTAGGAAAGTTCTTCATGATTTCTCTCGGGCCATGCTGTCCTAACTCACAACACAGGGCAAGCAAACATGCCTAAGTGCCCGGGTGATATGGAGACTCTTCTCAGGCTGTGCACTGAAGCACTTTCTGCTGCTGGAACCTGGGGCAGTCTCCCTGTGTTGCAAAGGCAACTGGGCAGCCTTCTCTGTCTTCCTCATGAGGTGCTGGCAGCACTGTGCCAGAAGACAGCGTGAGTCACTTGACTTCACTGACAATGCAATAACTCTCTGTGCTATTCCAGTCAATGTACTGAAATCCTATCTCTGCTATGGTTATGAAATCTGGCAAGCAGAAACAGAAGATGTAAAGTAAAGGTGCATCACGGTGGGCTTGGGAGTGGAGGGCTTCACACTTCATTGCCTGCTCACAAACAACAAAAATGTGTCTTGATGTATCATCTAAGTCCAAGAGTGTTCATTAAGTAGTGAAATGAGTCTGCCATGGCATTTCATCTGCCATTTTAAATGATCCATGGGTCCCCAACTACACAGAAAGACCAATAGTAATATTCCTTTGTCTGGCAGAGAGCATCACCAGTAGCCAAATGTGATAGTTTTCAACACTAGGTGAAAATTGAGCCAAAAAATTTCAAACATCTTAGGAAAGAGGGATGGTGTAATGTGGGCCTGTTTGCTAAATATAAAGATGTTTAGAAAAGAGAGAAGACTTGTGCACATGGTCCTGAACCAACTGTGATGAATTGAGCTTAGAAAAGGTTCTTTACTGGACCATAATTCCCATAGTTCTTTAGCACACAGATGTTCCCAGCTGGTGGATTCTGGGCAGCAGAGCCAAAAAAGGAACACTCCCAAGTTCTAATATTACTTCTATCGGAGGCCTATCTCCGCAGGGAAGAAATAGTGAAAATGGAATATTTAGCAAAGACAACACAAGAGAATTTTTTTATTGTCCCCGAGATCCGCATCCCAATCATGCACACCAATAAGCAGCAAGATAATGAAATTAGCAGACACCTACTTAATCTCTTCAGGGAAGAATATTTACTTGGGTTAGTCTTGACCGCAGACTCATAGGATGGTGGAAGGTGAGAGAGGTTCTGGAAGGACCTGGAGAAAGAGAGATCATAGGGCTCGGTGGCAGAGGTGAGGATACTGTTCATCCGGGGCTTTTCTGCAACAAGAGGGAGAAAGAAGACTTCTATCGAAACAAAGCCATAGGAACAAAGGAAAGGCACCTGGCACACAATGGTTTTGTTGTGTCCATGTCTGCCCAATTTTGTAAGATGAACAAATTAAAGCTGCAACCATGAAACCCAAGGCTTTGTTTCTTCCATGTCTGAGAGTGTTGATCCATTGCTTGCTCCTTTGTCAAACTGAGGCTAAGAAAAGTCAGCCCTTTCATGGAATAAAAGATATAAGTGAGCAGGGCACAGGATGTTCATTTTCCTTCTTCTGCCCTGGATCTCCTGTCTAGTGAATATGAACAAGCCTATTGGGTAGCACTATTCTTTCCTGTACCTTCTATTTACTATGTAATCTACACAACATGTCCAGTACCTATGAATATGGACATAGGTTGGCACTCCTTCTGCTGACATTTTGTTTTGCATTTGATAAAATAAACAAACCAGTTTTCCTTCACTAACTGATGCTCTACTGGGGACATCATTACTGGTGAATTCTGTCTTATCTTGGACAAATGAACCAGATTTTAGACTTCAAACAAAAACCTGTATCACAGATGTTTTTAGCTCAGTGTCATTTTTGCAGCCCACATATAGTCAAAAATCCAGCTTGCAGTTCTGAAGACTTGTTTGAAGGTCATATTGAAGTCCCTGCTCTGGATATCTCTGGTCCAGGTGAGTGATTCCATAAACCTGGATATGCTGATCCCATTCTCATACCAAAAAAGAGGCTCAGTACTTCTCTCCTACTGCCTACACATCTTTTATTCCCTACTTCTGAAAATTGGGAAAAGCCATACCTGCCTCCCTTATTTAAATGCTTAGACAAATGGCCCTTCATTACTCATTTTTGAAAATTCATTATTAAAATATTATTGCTCTTAATTATGGTGATAATGACAATGATTATAACTAAAGAGAGCCCTCCGGTGCTTACACTAGAAATGTGGTATAATTTTCCATGAATGCACGCTGTAATTTGTCACCTCAGGATCAGAGTTATTTTTAAATTAGCATGGGTACAGCTTGGTTTGGGCTCTTGGAGAGAAGAGTTGTCCCCAATTTGTCATTGAACACATAGATCCCAATGGCTTGCCATACACCTGTATTTAGAAGGAAGTGGCTTTGCTATCAAAGAGACTGATTCTCAGGTAATTGTTTCTGTGTGTGCACTTCTTTATTAAACTTCTAAACTACCTGCTCTTCAAAATTCTTTGGGCAGTGTGCAATTTATTACAATATAGAACAAAGTGCGATGTAGTGGTTTGGCTATTGGACTATATCTCTGAAGACCAGGGTTTGATTCCCAATTTGGCCATGGAAACACTTTAAGGTAACTTTGAATGAGTTACATATTTTCAGGTTCAGAAAATACCATAATCAATTCACTCCGGTGTTCATAATTTGGAGACAATTTGAAGGCTTACAACAACAGTAACAGCAAATCAACAGGATAGAAATCCATGATAAAATCAGCAATGGGGACTAGATCAACACATATAAACCATTATAGAAAACTAAATTGAAATCAGCAGCAGAGTAAAAGTGCACGAGTATAGAAAGCATGTTTGTGCACGCACACCCACACGTTTCTTGAAATTCTTGGGTAAAAAGGCCCTCTTGCACACTGATAATATACAGGATACATCCAAAACCACTGAAGTGTACTGGATAGAGTCTTCACTACTGGCACAAGTTACAGTTAGGAACTTGTATATCTCCACTCTGTTGAGAAAACTCTTTTGAAACAACCATGCTGATGCCTCAGAGGGTAACAGAGAAAATTGGAAGTTCTCTAGACCTAGCCCAGGAATTCCTGCTATTCATTCTCTATGCTCAGATTTTAATACAAAAGAAGATGGCCAGTACAGAGCAATCTTTTGAGAGGCCACAGCACCATGACAGGGCACACAATTTGAACACAGAAATCCTAACTACCTCAAGTTAAAGAAATCCCAGTCAATCCTCAGACTCTGGAGAACACTATTATTAGGCACATTCTCCTGAGCTGGTGAAAGACTATAGTTGCTCATTGAAAGCATATGCAGTTAGCATGGGGATTCAAATCTGAGACTCTGGTAGATTCAACACAGACGGGTATTCTTACTTAATACATCGGAGAGAATTCAAGCAGAGCTGTAGTGGAAAAAAACATATTCCTGCAGCCCTTCAGCAGAGCAAGATTTAAGCATTTGTGAAACAGATGCAAAAGGTTCTGATCCTGAGGTAGGATGAGAGGGAGAGAAAGGACATGACATGACAAACAGATGGATAGGTGGACAGACAGGACAAGGACATCCAGGAGGTTTTATAGGCTTGAGTAGTGATTTCAGCCTAGTTCGCCAGAGTTCTTGCTCTTGAATCACATTGACTGCCTCTTTGTCATCCAGAGTCAGGCCACTTTTGACACAACAGTCAGGGTGGAAGGCAGAAACTGGGAGGAAGAGAAGCCCCACAGGCCCTGCTGAGCCAGCTGATCTCAGCAGGCTGCAGAGTTTGTTTGGTATTGAAATCACATCCCATTGCTGCAAATCAGATCAAATGCCTGAAGCTGGAGTTTAAAATGGTCTTTCATCCACCCAAGCCAGAGAAGAAAAGCCTGTCAAATTATAACATTTCAATCACACCCAGGTGCTCAGTTATTAAAATAGGCAGAGATAAGAACATTAAAATAGTAGTGGCAACTGCTGTGAGCAAATCTTCAGCTGATGGGGAAACAAAAAGGATACGAGGGTGACTTTAGGTATGCGTCTATTGTAGAGGAACTAAATGCGTCCTTTACAGAGGGCCATCCTTCATTTCTTGGACATTGTGTCCTGTAAACCCAGGTGTCTCTTTTTCATTATCTCCATTTGGGCAAGAGTATGTCAGCAGTCTCTTGGTTTTTATTTTTAAATAGTAACATATGCTTCTTCTTTTTTTGAGCAACACTGTATTGTTGTTTGAACTAGACCTGGGAGTTGCCAGATCAAGGGATTTGCCAGTATTGCCTGGCTCTCTTCCATACTTGTCTAGAAGCAGATTGTCAGGTCCTAATGCTTACTGGCCAGAATTCATGTAGTGGCGCAGCTGGCTGAGTGTCAGCTGCATTAAGATCACTCTGACAAAAAGGTCATGAGTTCGAAGCCAGCCCGGGTTGGAGTGGGTTTTCAACCAATTGTGTAGCCTGTTGTCGACCTTTGCAACCCGAAAGACAGTTGCATCTGTCAAGTAGGAAAATTAGGTACCACCTTAAAGTGTGGGGAGGCTAAATTAACTGATTTATGAGGCCATAAAGAAGACTCCAGCAAAGCATTTCAGCTGGGAAGCATGCGGGGAATGCGTAAGTGCTTCATCAGCGTTGCAGATGGATGATGAAAGCGACAGCTCCCCTGGTGGCCAGAAAAAAAAGTTAAATAGCCTCTGTGTATGCCTGTATATGTTTGTATGTCAAAAATTGGCATTGAATGTTTGCCATATATGTGTACACTGTAATCCGCCCTTAGTCCCCTGCGGGGTGAGAAGGGCGGAATATAAAAGCTGTAAATAAATAAATAAAATAAATATACAAAAGTCACTATTTCACAAAAGACATAGTCCATTGATAGCAGATATCATGCTCACAGATGCCTTGTCCTTGTCATTTGTGCGTTATGGTTATGCATCCTATACTTTCCATTATAGAGGAGTACCCTACACTTTCCACTGTAGTTGTGCATTGGAGTGAGAATCTCATTGGAGAATTACAAATGCCTGAACACCACAGTTATGATGCTATGTAATGAGTCCCATCCCAATGCCCCTTAATCCCCACCCCCCTTACTGAGCAGCAGTCACTATGATCGATGGGAGCTTGCTCCCTGTTGAGCAGAAAGCAGCTAGCAAACATTTCCACCCCCTCCCATGTTCAATCTTCAGTGTGACAGGAGAAGGAGGACCCCTGCTGCCTGAGATGAGTCGCATGAGGGATTGGATCTGCCAGCTAGGTGCTTCTTGGATGACAAGGGAACAGACCCTGATCGACTGTAATGATTGCTGCCTAGGAAGCGAGGACTGGAGTCTTTTATGGTCTCTATATATCCCCTAAATTATTGACTGTGTTGACATCATGGAGCCAAAACAATCTTGAGTGCAGAACTCTACACCTTTGCCTCTGTGCAACAGGATTCAGGACCCTATACTTTACATTTTGGTTGTGAATCCAATGCTTTTCATTCTGATTACACATCCTATACTTTGCATTGTGATTATGCATTGTGAGTCTATATTCCTTGCTCTCAACAGTCATTGTTCATCCTATACTTTTCAACATGGTTGTGTTTACCTCACCCCTGCCCTGCTTAGGTTCCATGTCTGGCTCCGGCGATGGGAATGTGCTCGTTTCCTCCTAGGTCACTGGACAACTTGTAGGGCTGCTTTGGAGGTACTGCCAGAATTACTATAGCATGCGGCTAGCAACCCTCAGGCCCGCCATGACCATCCTGTTGCTCAAGGAGGCGGATGTGGTGGCAGAAGAGGCAACAGAAGGGGAGTTGGGAGCTGGCCTAGGCAAAGCGTGTGGAAAAGTGATCCTTCCCATGCGTACTCATGAGTAAATCATCCCTCCCCTGCTCTGAATTGGATTGTGGTATTTTAAAAAAAAATCAAAGGAATCTGTAATGGTACAAACTATACACTCTAGGAAGTTGCACTGGACTCTTTCTTAAAATGGTGATGCTTGCTACCCAACGCTCCACTTGCTCAAAGCCACATGAATCTAGATCTTACACATGTAGCAAAACACTGGAACAGTCCAGATTTTCCTAGAAACGGCAGAGCAAGAAGTGAATGTTGCTATATTGCATTAAAGTCTAAGAAAAACCCTTTTCGTTCTAAAATACATCATGTGTTTAGGCAGCTACATGGTGAGTACTGTTGCCCCTCCATATTTGCTTTTTGACTTTTGTGGATTTGATTAGATACAGATTAGTAATGTATTCTCTAGGAATTTCTACATCCTACTAGTCTG